TATATATATATATAGCATAGTGTGCCGTGTATCTGATATAACCAGCTGAACAAAGTGTCAAACCAGGCATGGATGTAATTGGCTGAACAAACTGAAAAAGGAACAAGAATAAATAAATGACATTTTTTCTAAGCATACTTGAAACACGGTGCTAACTTTTTAATGTTGTTGCCTTTGGAAGCTTTATCTCTTGCTGTGACAATCTGACAGTGATGCTTTGGCCACATGGTGAAGAGCCAGATGTGAACATCATGAAWATTTGTTTTTGGTGGCGCTATTGGCAACTTTAAACAGACTGGAGGGGTGTCTGAGGCTTTCCACCTCTTGCAGGGTCATTAGCATGTTCAAAGTTATCTATGTCATCATGTGAGGTGTTGGTTTGTCTTATTCAAGCTGGGAAAGCAGATGAGGGGATTTTAAGGTGTTATCTCACAGAGCAACAACTCCTTAGTGTCTCCACAATGTCTTTGGATTTTGGCGGAGTTCTTTATTTTCTTGCACGAGTTTCAAAGCACATTTCCAGGTCTAAAAAAAAACAAAAAAAAACAACCAAATAAAAAAAAAAAAACAAATGCCACCTACAGGACCTAATAAATGCTGTGATATTATAGCTCAGTCTTCTTTTTGCTGCAGTTTTAGACTTTAACTTCAGGTGTTTTTAGAGTCGAAGGTGAGTGATTGGATTTGAGCGGTGAAGCTCAACATATGAACATAAACACAGAGAACTCACTTCAAAACCCTCTCAGATGTGGAGCAGATATAATCGTGTGCAGAAGCACAAACAGCTCTTATCTGCCTCGTGCAGTTTTCTTGATTAGTGATCAGTTGCAAAGCAGTTCATGCATCATGATGTCAGTTAGATTTATGTGAAAATGCACAAATACTGGACCGTGTTGCGGTGAGTATTTAGYTTAACACATGCGTCTGCACACTGAAAACAGGAATGTTGAGAAGACCTATTCAGCTTTATTTTTCTCATAATTTACGTTTTTGTTTGGTATTGTTTCTTCAGCTGGAAATGTGCAAAATTGTTTGCAGTTTGTGATCTCACCTCTTCAGCCCCAAGGTTTTTGTTTTATTTTATTTTATTTTTGAGGTTTGTGCTTTAAAACATCGTGGCTAAATGTAACTGAGCATGTCTCAGTGTTTACAAACTCTACTTAAATCACATGTMAAACTYAAGGCCCGTGGGCCAGATGTGGCCTGTGGGTGACTCCTGTCTGGCTCACCAGGTGGGGGGCACCACCTCTCTTTTATTGTTTTTTACTTAATATGAAAATTGTTTCTTATATCAATAGTAAATTTTAAATTTATGATTAAATGCAACAAAATAAACCAATGTAAAATGTGTGAAAATATRGTCAAAATTAAGTAAAAAACAAAAATATTAGAAAACACTTTACAGGATATTTTGGTTTTTACTTAGATTTGCATTTCTTAACAAATCAAAAGCAAAAAGCATTAAAACACACCAACAGGTTTGATGTAGTTTATTAACAGATTTGTTTACTTTCTGATTCAACTGCTTGTGGTTTTGAATGTAGACATATTTGTTTTATGAGCACTAAGGATTCTGCCATTTATACCAAACATGTCTGTTTGAATGACAGATCATGAGTTAACAGAAGTTGTGTTTACATTGACCATGAAAATGCGCAAATTAGAATTTTGAAAATAGATTTGCTCAATGGAGACACGTCAATTTCGAGAAAAAAAGTTTTTCGACAAAACGTTTTTGTGCTAGAATGAGGTGGTTTTTCGGCCGTATCGAAATTGGTGTAATTCACAAAACTGCAATGGAAACACTTTGTTCGCATCACGGGAGTCACGTGATCAAGAACCGGCTGTTTCTACTGGTGAAAAAGACAAAGAAAATAACAGGAAGTAAAAGTAGTAGTAAAATCACCAAAATAGTAAAAGCAAGTATTAAACTCACGACTACATTTTCCCAAAAACGCAGCATACGTAGCCACTCCCAAGTATAAGGGAACTTGTCACTCGAAAGCCTCGATAAGACGCCGACGTCTCCTCTGATGGCTGGTGATGAGTGCTAGTGTCGTGGTTGCAATATGCAGGTGTTTACATCCATGGCCGCCATGTTTGTAATGACTTATCGCGAGAACAAACATATTCACGTGTGACCTTAATAGCATTTCTTACTTAATGAAAACACCGCAATCGTGAAACTGTGTTTTTTTTTTTAATTAACAGAATATCGACAAAGTTTTGCGCACATTTGCAATGGAAACGCAGCTAGAAATTAAAACAAATGGAAAGCAGTAGGGGCTGTTTGGCCCCTGATACCGGTGGAATGTAGGGTCATGGATGGCAGAAGGTTTGTGTGTTTTTTTTTTATTTACCTGCAGAGGTGTAGTGGCCAGCAGCTCACACAGCTGCAGCAGCAAAGTGCCTGGACTGCTCTCGTTCACTGCCAGGTAGATGACGTTAGCTTGACCCGACGGCGTCATCACCGTCTCGGCCACGAGTGCCGCCAGCGACAGGTACGACGTGGAGGAGGACAACGAGGCCATGCCGGCCACCCCCGCCAGCGAGGCCGAGGCCGTGTCCGTCACGCCCTTTCCTCCTCCGGGACCGTTTCCCAGACCGGGCCCAGGACCCTGCTCGCCGACCCCCACACCTCCCACTGCCGCCGTCTCCGGGAGCAGGGAGGAGCCAGAGTGGACTACGGCTATGTTGATGCCACCCGAGTCCCTCTCTCTCTCCCGGGGCCGGAGGAGCAGGGGGGGCGAGGGGCGTGCGGGCCCCGAGCAGGCCAGGACAGCCAATAGCAGTGAGAGGGTGGGCCTTGGGGCCACCATGGGGCAAAGAAAAGGCCAGTGGTGGTTGTCTGATGGGTTCTGCCGCGTGAAGCCAGGTAGGCTTTTGATTTGGGCGTAAAGGGTGACGCCTCTGGAGGAGGGAGGAAGGTGGTGGGGGGCTGGCAGCTTATGGTGCTTCACCTAATGTGGAGAGGAGACCCTGAAGGAGAAAYAAAACAAAAGACAAGAGGATTAAAAAAAATCTCTGAACTCATTTCCAAACATCTTCTTTAACCAATAAATGAACTCATAAGAATGTATGCAGAGGAACTCTGGGGAGAAAAAGAAATCATGTGGGCGTCATGAAGCACTTATCCTTTTTGTAAACAATGTATCAGGGTGACAAACTCCGCCCACTCAGCCTTGTTTTTATTGCACCTGATTTAATAAAGTTTGAATCTGTTAACAGTAAATATTTCAACCAGGAAGAAGCTGCACAGTTTTACACAGTTCATTCATTCCCGCTAATGTCTGCTGGCTTTTCTGATCAGGAGCCCAATTAAAATTCATTAGATACAGATTTTTCAAAGTATTTAAAWTGCATCAATTAAGATGGTTCTTAATTAAAAAATAAGATCTTGTGAATTGATTCTTTACAACAGGTCTGATGAGCAGCATTTATGCTCWCAATTACACTGTTAATATCTGAAAATTGACTGGTTCAGGGTTAAAATAACACATAAAAAGTAAATATTATTTGTTGAGCCTTTTTGTTTAAACATTTTTTTCTTTTTTTTTAGTATAACTTTTAGGAAAATAAACAGAAATAAAAATGTGCAGTTTGCAGGTCTGGCTGTTTCAGGAATCAAAGTTACAAGGCTGTTTTTTTTAACTTTCCATCTTGTCTTATCTTGTTTTTTTTGTTTTTTTTTGTTTGTTTTTTTGCTTTGTTTTGTTTTGTTTTTTCCTTATAAAACCTCAGCAGCAAGTTCGATTCAGATGCAAAGACAAAACAACATC